TACAGACCAAGTAGGCGAAAGCGGAAAAACATTATCACTCTACTAGACGACAAATCGAAACCTCACATTCCAAAATATAGCTGTAAAACTATTTAATACTCTAATCTTCTCAACCAAATCTATTGATCATTTTATATCTGGATGTTTTACAGAGCTTGCGTGAAGGCTACTATCTCCTCAACTCCTTGAGCTAATAGTTTCTTTGTCGAAAGAATTTAATGGTTCGGGTGTCGATTGTTTACACTTCGTCGAAGGTTTTTGCTTTTAAAATCCCCGCTTTCACCCTTCATTGACCAAGTTGGTATTTTTCGAGTGCGCAAAAAAGCTCCGGTGAAATACTACGTTTGTGTTTTCATTTGCTTTGCAACCAAGGCGATACATTTAAAATATGATACAGTTAAAAAGTTAAAAAAACACACACAACCAAACAACCAAAATAAAATCAATTGTTTGAAATCGCTATATATCGTCTTTTCATTGCGTAAAAATAGCTAATAAAAAAGCTTTTTAGCTCAACAATACATATAAAATAATATTTATAAATAAATGTTGAAATAAATGAACTTTCCTATAATTGATCTATTGCGATGAGATGCAGGACCATTGCCTTCGTGCTGGTGGGCTATCCATATGCGAGATCCCTTCCGCTGCGTTTCCTAGGAAGTGGTTAATCAGGTCAATGATCCATTGGCGGCTTTCCACCCGGATCGATGGTTTGCTACATTCAACCCAGGTCGATGATGAGGGCCAGCTTAAACATACTTAAAGATATGGAATGATGTCGCTACGTAGATCGCGTACACGCTTATAGTGTCAAATAGGGTTATATATTTATAAAAAAAATTAACGTTTAAAATAAAATGGTTCAATATACTTATTCCTAATGTTTTTCTTGGGTATTATTGTTTGCTAATAAATGTTTTTGATTTGGACTCTTAAGATAAGGTAAAGTAAAGTAAGGTAAGAAGGATTTTTTTGGGGAATTGCGAGTTCATGAAGCGTTTAACATACACAAATTTATATGTTCTCAAAGATGAAGGCCCTCCAGGTGCTTTGGTCACCAGGAGCAGCGACGAGGTGCAAAGCAAGGGGCAACCTTTTGCTTGAGCTCAACAGAGATGGTGACAAGAACGCTACGCTATTGAAAAACGATCTGGAAGTGGTGCTGGATCTGTGCGGGCGCTGTCAAAGGACTCGAGGATGCAATTCTGGTCGATCAGCGCAGGACTTCACTGGTGGACTTCACTAGACTTCGATCAAATTGATAAGTCGGCGGATCGAAGCCTTCGAGAACACACAGTCGGCAATAATAAATCTGCCGTAATGGAGGCGCAAGCGGACCTGACCAAGGGCAAGTTAAAATTGGGTTGGACATTCTGAAGATTCAAGAGCGGCTCGAAACCTAGGTGCTTTAAAATGGCTAGGCTAGGCCACAACGAGGTTTGATGCAGGAGACCGATGCGTCAAAAGTGCGGGCAAACCGGACACAACACATCGCGTTGCTCAAAAGAGGCCAAATGCTTCTTCTGCATCACCACCAAGAGGAACGACGATCATCAATCCTAGATGAGCTGGAAAGTGTCGCAAGGGGAGTGCGGAATAGGGTCATGTCTGGGGATTTTAACGCCTGGGTAAAAGAATGGGGCTCAATATGCACGATCGCACGATCCTATCAGTGCCTTCAGCTCAGTTGCAAGTGCACGAAGCTTCAGGAGCCACATCGCCAAGCAATTTCCTGGCAAGATGCAAGCCCAACGGTAAGGGCCTCGCCTTGAAGGCAAAATATGTAACAATGTAGGTAACAAGGAATATTGCTAAATTGTGTCATTTCACATTAGAAATGCTTTTGCCTCGGCGAAATGAAACGCCTCGCTAGGAGCTGTACTACAGCTAGGCGTACCGGACGCACTGGTAGACATAGTAAAGTCCTAAAACGTCTTTTGAGACTACCCGTTCGAGTTGAAGATAAGTTTTCTGCATATCCCTCCCTTGTAGTGTAGACATTTTGGCTGCTGCAAGGAGTACTCTTCGATTATTTCCGGGTTTCGAAGGACCGAATATAACGGGATTTTTCGTATGTTTCTTTTCGTTTGCGACTTTTTACTGCACCTCCACCAAATATATGGATAGAAAAAAGTCCCGTTTTGTCTGTTCATTAGGAAAGCAGTGTCTGATATTGTTCAACAAAAAATAAACAATTATCAATAATTTGTGAAAAGTACTGTATTCGTGCACACGTATGCTCTTGTATTGTAAATTTGACAAAATATGCCCTTCATTTTATTTTTTTTTTATCGACGCGATCACTTAACAGCCCCATCAGAACTTTTCACACATGAGAAAAACTACTCGATGGTATTGGACTTTGGAAAACTAAAGGCACCATCTGTTTTTTCTCAACAAAATAATGCATCTTCAAAATTAAAGTTCTTGAAAATATTTTTAAAAATAATATAACTTGTTAGAATTAATTCGTAGCCTTTTACGAAAGATGGCGCTAGCCAACTATTCATAGTCACACAGACAAAAATAAATACTCTCCTGGAAGCTACTGACATAGCGCATCTTCACCAGTATATGACATTGCCATATTAAACATGTCGAAGTTTGTGCCAGAAAAATAGTTTTTGCGGGGAGTGTTACTTCATTATTTTAACATGAAGAAAAGTGCCGCGGAAAGTTATCGTATTTTAGTGGAAGAATACCGGGAATATGATCTCGCTGAGCAAACATGCAGAAAGTGGTTTGCGCGGTTTAAAAGTGGAAATTTTGACTTGGAAGACAAGGAACGTCCTGGACAACCGAAAAAGTTCGAAGATGACGATTTGGTGGCGTTGCTTGATGAAGACCCGTGCCAAACACTTCTGGAGTTGTCCGCATCACTTGGAGCTTCGACGGTCGGAAAACGCCTCAAAGCCATAGGAATGGCATAAAAACAGGGAACGTGGGTTCCATATGAGTTGAAGCGAAGGGACATTCAACGGCGTTTAACCACCTGTGAGATTCTTCTTCAACAGCAGATAAGGAAACGCTGAAATGGGAAGTTCTGCTCCACCCGCCATATTCACCGGACATTGCTCCATCGGATTATCATTTGTTCCGATCCATGGCGCACGGCTTGTCAGAGCAGAACTTCGAAAACTACGACATGACCAAAATTTTCATTCATCGAATCGAAAGAAGAATTTTTTCGACGCGGTATTCGAACCTTACCAGAAAGATGGCAAAAAGTTGTAGATAACGATGGACAATACTTTGAATAATGCTACTGTAATGATACCCTCATAATAAATCACGAAACTTTGCAAAAAAAGGCTACGAATTAATTCCAACACCTTATAAGAAACAACTGTAGCGATTTCTCATTATGGTTCAATGAAACCATAAGGAATGTTTTGTGTAAATTTGATCTTTTAGACAAACAAATAAAAATCTTACTTTTTAAGCATTGCAGTGGACTGTGATAACTGATAAATAAAATAACTCATAAATAAAAAAATGAGTGATAATTCCTACATGTTAAAAAATATATAAATAATTTACGACTGCAAATATATATTATATGTATACATAGTAAAAATTTATTTCGGTCCGAAAATCGTCTTCAGGCTGTCTCGAATTTTTGTTTAAAGGCCACAGAGAGACAAAGGGAGAGAGAGCGCTATAGAGCTAGCAGCTCTCTTGTACGCATACAGCAATAGTCGACCACGGACCGCAGAGCGGGAAATGGTGGGACATGGCGGGACATGGAGGGCCATATCGGGATCTGGTCTGCGGACCAAGAATCCCGACTTCCAGATACGCGTTACTCTCCTAAGGCTGACGGCAGAGTGCGCTATAGGTATATAGCTTAAGGATAGCGAGAAGATGGCAGAGTGAGAGCTTTGCGAGAAAGGAGCTACATTGGTACATTCCATATTGACAACGAAACTCATAGCGACGATTCTTTCAACCATGTTAATTTAAGAACAGGCCAAATAATGAGAAACGCCTTTCGCGACTTTGTTTGCACACACAGAAACACCGAATAAAAATATGTAAATACAAATAGTTTGCAGTTATTTATAAATCGATACTTACTTTCTGTGTCTAATGTTTTCCCTTTCTGTCCAATTTAAAAAAATTTTTTTTTTTTTTTCGTCCAAGTTCTTGCTGGCGTAAAAAGACCACATTAATTAAATTTTCAAAGTTTACCTCCATTTCGTTCTGGTGTTTTCTCACAAATGACACCAAATGAAAAAATTAAAACGCGTGCTTTGAAAATAAGCGGTAACTAAAGCACAGAATACAACGAAACTATCAGACGCTCTGAGCGAGTTGCAGCGATAATGCAGGTTGCAAACTGTTCTCTCGCTTGAGCTCGCAACTCGTTTCGCTCTCACTCTGACATCTTTCGAGCGATAATGGGTTTGTGATATATGTATGTATATATTAGATATATTTTTCTTTTTTTAGCGAATTCCCAACAAATTTACTAATTTCAGTAAAAATATTTACGGTATTATAAATGATGTCTTTTATTTAAATATGCTCGCTAGATTAATATTTCTGATTTTCTTCACAATGTTTTTTGTAAGCTCCTGCAGGATATAAATTCATTAAAACCCGTACGTCATAAAAGTCAATGACCGACCATTCAAAAAGAAAGGTTTTTAAATTAACTTAGTTTGGCGGCCGATTGGTTGACGGCCACAACTATGGTGATAATAGTATAATACTATATAATATATACCTTGCAGAACCGAAACTGTCCACTGCTTTACACACTTCTTAATAATAAAATTACAATGTAAAGAATACAAAAATGTTATAAACATATAACGTGAATGTTATAAATGTGCAAATGTGGTTTAGTGGAATGCTCGAAAATGCGCTATTACAAAATTAAATTTAAGAAGTTTTATCATAACTTTTGTGTCTAAATAAGAGTAAAAGTCGAAAGTAAACGATTCCGTTCTGCAGTTGCCCATTAGATTTATAAAAACTAATACATTTTTCAATATTATTTTTTCTTATATTGTTATGAACATTTTTATTGTACCGTGTAATCAACAATATTCTAGAGACCTTTCCTATATTTTTCTCCTACAGTAAAATCTGTCATGCCCTTTCCTGCAGTTCCACAAGTGCCGACTCCTACTCTGCCGCTTACATTATCCGGAGACGCAAATATACTTCTTGCTTTCATTCCGTTTTTTTTTTGGTTTTTGCTGTTGAAATTAAGCCATTTGTTTTTGTCTGATTCACGTTCCTCTTCCAAGTCCTTGAAGCGCTGCTGCTTTTTTTGCTTACGTTTTTTTAAATATTCTTTTTGATTGGGCCTGTGACGTCTGCAAAAATTGTGTTAAAAGTTATGAGTTTGTATTTGGCGGTTCAAAATATTATACTTGTTTGACGGAAAAACTTCGTTGCGAGTAGTGCGTTCTCGCAACTCGTTGACGTGGGTGGTAGAACGATTTTGATAGGCATCAAATATTACATTAACTTCTCCTGTACTTGATATATCTTCAATAGTTGCATCGTAGTACTGACGATCTTCTTTCCATTTAGCTTGACACTTATCTCCTTTTTTCCAAATCTTAGCAGCTGAAACTAATTTTTCTGCTTCTAATAGAGCAGCTTCAATTTCGTCGAAATAGTTGGAGGAAGCTCTTTTAGTTGAGGATGGCTCCACATAGGAAGATTTATGCTGTTCTTCAAGTTGAGTTTGTATCAGATCGCGAGTAAGGGTAATAACTTCGCCAAGATCACTTCTGAGTTTTAATAGCTCTTCATTTTCTGGATCAGTTTGAAGAGCTGCCTCCACCTTAAATTTCAATAAAATGTAAATTTGTTTACTGCTTGTAAAAAAATTAAATAAATTACATTTTTAATTTTACAATGGTAGACAGCACCCTAATATTTAAATATTGAAATAAAGGTTTATATAAATGAACGTTTCATAATGAATTGTTGTTTAAAAAGCCACGCATTAGGAAGTTAATATTCTATGCAGAATCTGGATTATTTTGTAAAACGCTTTGTAGAAGCTTTTTTTGAGTGGTTTGTCTAATATCGCAAGTTTTATTAACAGCACTATTAACTTCCCAATGTACGAGTATAGGTATACATTAATAAAATGGCCAGACCATTACCATAAACGAGTCGAAACATGTAATTTTTATGTAAATTTTAAGTATAAGTATTTATCCAGGCTATGTTAAGCGGGGACAAATTCCGAAATACCTACACTTTTGACCTAAATAAGAAGATTATAGCAGACATCGTGCTAATTTATTCTGCAATATAAAGGGTTCTTTAGATTTAAAGACTATCTGGTGGTGAGTGTATGCAAAATACACACGAAAGCACAAGATCCAAATTTAGTTAATGATTTGCTAGTTTATAGACTCCTAGTACATTTATTAACATTAGATATGAACAAAAAAAAAGTGTACTGGGCCGCGAAAAACTGAAAAAACTAACATATTAATTATTTCGCGATTGAACCAAAACAGTTGAACGCTAAATATAACAGTAATATTTATTTTTGGACAATATTACACATTAAGTTATGGTTATGCTCACAAAATGAGTGTGTAAGTATAAATCACGAGTAACAAAAACCAATCAAATATCAGATTTGGTTAAAATAAAATGGAAACGTTTAATGACCAAAGACAACAAAGCCATGACAACCACAGCAAATTTGTTTTGCTTCGTGTATATATGCATGTACATACATATAGCAATCGCCTTCGTACATTTTCCTAGTGCGCTTCGTCGACTATCGACCACCATCATTTTAACTGGACTAAACAAAATATCTTTCTTTTCAAGGATATAAACGAAACATGTACAAACTTTAGCACTAGCACACCAAAATAAATATATTTTAGACTAATTTCCAAAAGAAAAAAGAAGTATAAATAACTATATTTATACACACTTGTTGCAATTGTAGTTTGTAGTTTTGCAAATCGTCCGCCATTTAAGTACTGTCAGTTTCCACTATTTACATTTGGTGCATTTAGGAAATAATAATTTTATTTTTAATAAGCTAAGGAAGCGGTGCAACGTCTATGAACTACTTACTTGATTTGGAATGCTTAACAGAATTCGATTACATAATTTAAAAAAAATTATATGAATTTCTCACAGAGAAGCATCAAGTCCATAATATTCTACTGACCAAAATAAGACCCGGTTTGAATGCGATTGAAGTATGCGTTAAATATTTTTTGAATATTTTTAATGAGTTGATAGACAAAATAAAATATACTATATAAGGGCATTGACGAACGGTAAGTGATAAATGGTGCCGTGTGAGACGAGAAAATTCACATATGTCAGAAATCTCAGCTGTTCCACAGGTAAGTGCTCTGTGGGATTATGCCATTGCGCTTAGCAATGCTAATTTTTCCATTTCAAAGAAAATTAAGCGAATTTATAATGTTATATATACTCGCAATATTGAGATTTAAAATTGTTTTTAAGTTTTTACTCTCTAAACAATGGGAAATTACATCGAGAAGACTGTCAGGGAATGCTTCCAGAAGCCTTTTGGGGGATATAGCGAGTATAGAGTGATTGATCAATATGAAGAGAGACTAAAAATTGTGTGTAAATACTTCTGACAACAGACAAGCATCAGTTCAATGCTTCTATTTTTAGCCCATGAACAGTTATTTTTTCCACTTCTTCTTTCGTTTGCTTCTGTATAGATGTAGAAGCACGACAAATACCGTTAAGTTCGTTTCTGAGTACAAAAGCAGCAGCAATAAGCGATCAAAGTTGACAATTGAAAAAAAAGCACGTTGTGTAAATACTTTTGACCACATCTATATATTTAATTTCATGTTTTATTTAACTACAATAGGTCTGTATAAATTTCCGTATATTTCCCCTATAACTGCTATATTTGATTATTTTAATCCTAGTTAAGAAAACACAAACACCTGCAAGATATAGATAAAATAACTGCTTTCCTTTCCTTATGGCAGTGCCGCTAACACAGGGCGAAGTTTTTCCCGTGCCACACTGCTCGTAACATGTAATTATTGATAGCTATCAACGACTCACAACTCTACAAACCTACGATCTCTATTAATCAAACGAACAAAAAAGGTAAATAGAAGCATTACTTTTATAAAACCGTCGAAAACATAGATGTTGTGACCATGCGCACCCATCCGACCTAGGATGCCCGGAGTATTTTACGGGCATGAACACGTCAGGATCGCTCCAAGCGACTAGGATGGCTTTCCCCTACAGTGAGCACTCACTCAAACATCCTGGAAAATACTCTCGCATTGATAAACTTGAACATGAATTTTGTGTTAATTTGTATTTTTGTTGTTAATTTTGTGTCGAATTTGTATTAATTCTAACATTAATTTACATTTTTCTCAATCACTTCATCAGACTCACCCTTGATCGTCGGCTGCTTCTGAGAAAGATCAAATCGGCAAGTCTTGGAAGCCTTCGAAAGCTACAAAACACCGCGGAAACTTGCCCCGCAATTGACGGTTCTTACAAGGACTGCACTACAACGGACGTATTTACATACGTGTAGGTTAACCTAACCCTGAGAAGCTCCAAGAGATAAGACGGGAGGTGCGAACCAAACGTGAGTATGTGTTGTGTTTTCCTGTCAGATTCTACTAAACTCCCGCGGCCCAAGTTGAATGGCACGACGACGAAAATTCAGACTCCCGATTGACTCCGATTGATTAACAATAATCGAGGTAAGTTAACAAAGTAAGCCTAATTGACTTATAAATTTCAGCGCCAGGACTAGCGGTAGCCGTTGACGGATGTCGATTGGGGCGGTCGACGCTTTACGGAATAGCCAAGAATTATACTGGAGTCAAGGGAGGTTGCCCTGGAAGACTCCAAATTCCTGCGCTCAGCTAATAGTGTGCTTGGAACAGACCCACCGGCGGTATCGGGATCGACTCTGGGTCCAGCGATGCCCGTGGGAAATGCTGTATTAGCAACTGCCGGCCAGCCCGAGTTAAAAGCTGAGTGGCACAATGGATGTTGCGAAACGCGCTCAGTGACAACAACAGCCCAACGCTGCTAGCGAAGCTTGTGTACGTGGGGTGGCGTGATTGCTTCCAGCGCTGACGCTGCACCTTGCAGCGACGATCGGTCGTCTCCCAGCGTGGTAAGGCGGGAGCGAGTCGTTAACTTATACATATGTTGCCGACTTCCAATGCAAATTTTTCAGGGCTCCTTTATATTGGCACCCCGGTTATTCTCGGGACAAATGCAGAACAAAAATTTTCTTTAATAACTCACTGTTTTTTTATTTCCCACACAGATATAAATTTAAGTTGCCCTTGATAGCTCATCGGAATGGTTACGATTGGCCTATGATTTGCGTTTTATCATGCTCCCCCTTTATTCTACCGACTTTGGCCATTGGTATTGCTATGGCCATTCCAGGCCATTTATTAGTAGTACCTATGCGAACCGGGATTAATTCAAACGGCCAGATCGCCCAACAGGATTCTAAAAAGGCGGGCGTCACCAATGCCATCGCTCTATCGTTTTGCCTATCGATAAGGCCCTATTATCATGGACTCCAACTGCAACAAATTTACCTATTCTTAAGAAAATTTTTGTAGTTAGGAAGATGGCATTCTAATCGAAATACCAATGTCTCCAATCGTTTATTACCCGCCAATAGATTTGCGAGTGTAAGGTATACATCTGTTTTATACACCATTATCGCAAAAGATTTTGTAATAACTCCGATCAGATCCCATTCCGTTGACCTAAAGCTATACAAGTTTTTTTATGCAGAGCGATTCGACTAGCCAAAGAAAATGTCCAGTTTAATTATCTAACCCATAGTCTTTTGTTGAACTTATAGAAGTCTACTGCGTATAATGATGCTGTCACAGTTGTGAGAGCTAGTAAGTTAACAAGCAATCAAGTTCATATTCCCTTAGCAACTAAGTAGCTTCGCATAAACAATGCTGACGCGCCATAATTGAGAACGTTCGGCATGGAAAGCCGACACTTCCCATTTGGAGTGTTGCGCTGCGCCGCAAGTAATGCTGAGTCGGCTTGTCGCTCATTTCTTGATAACACGATGCATTGTCGCGTAGGGTAAGCTAAGGAATGAAAATTGTCTGTACTTCAGTTCTTGAAAAGCTTCTTAATAAATCACAGCTCAACTCCGTCACATAGCCGTAAATAGCTTTGTTCTTAATTACAAACACATAGGTACGCCACAAGGCTAGCAATATAACCAAGGCGTACCTCTGCAGAAGACGGAAGACCTCTGGACCACCAAATAGGAGATCTTTTTAACTAGTATATAGTAATAATAACTGTAAGAGGTTTTGTAAACATGAAACGCTGTCTAAATTAAAGAGGAAAACGCGAGTTAAGAAACACAGGCTAAAATAAGTTCAACAGAATGTAAGAAATGTAGGAAATGAAACAATAAAGTGACAAATTATTATTCAAAAGAATAAATAAGGGAACGAGTTCTGATTTCTGGACGACCCGTTAATTATATGTAACAGAATTACTAACCACCGACCTATGGAAGCGCTTGTACCAGTGGATTTTACAAGGTGAGCCAGAAATAACCAATTTACTTGAGTGCATGCCTAAACGTATGATTGAGATTTACATACATGCACATTTATTTAATTGAGTTTGAATTAACTCCGTAAACCATAAAGAAAGAAAATATACAAAAATAAAATGTTATATATAAGTACATATGTGGGAATGGTCTGGCAACTCAGAATTACTGGCTATGCCAGCTAATCTAACGACAATGAGGAGAAACTAACGACGTAGCAAGCCTTCAAAAGACGAGAGAGAACGATTTCGAAGGGAAAACGAAAGAGACGTCCGGAAAGGAAGTTTTTCATGACGAAGAATTAGAAAAAGTGCCGACAAACGACATCGTGGGATTGTGTGAACTTACTGAGTACCACACATTTGCAATGAAGCTAAAAAAAATCCCACCTTTGAATTACAAAAACAATTATAAAAATCTACTATAGTGCAAACATCCCATTTTCGAGATGCGCGTCTTAGTGTAAGCAAGTTATATAATGCTATCGATAAGCGATAAAATGAAGTAGATTTTAAGAGAAAGAAGATATGGGCACTTTTTTGAAGAAGGACGATCGGTCACTTGCATTTTGGCGGAAAAACAATCGAGACGCAAATAAAACAACGGAATGAAAAATAATCATTAAAAATAAAAGCGATTATACATTTAAACATTAAAATAAAAACCTGGATGTGGGGTTCGCTCAAAGCGATATTTCGGCTTAAGAAGGAAATACTCAGTCATTCTAAATCTGACCGTGGAGGAGCTTACAAAATGGCTTTCCGAGAAGCGAGTGCCATTGTCCGGCGGGGAGACCATTCACCAGATGCGGGGAGTGGTAAAAGCTTTGGTGATAGACTAAGATTTGCCATAAAAGAAGGCAAAGAGCCGATTGATGCGGATGGTGTGGTGGAAAGCGTGGCAGAGAGCGTCGTGGGAAGAGAGCGTGAGCAAGAGGAGCAGGTGCCAGACGATATGGCCGAAATTACGAAGCAGATTATGCTGTATAAAGCACGAAAGGATCTCGGAGTTCAAAGTGAAGGTTGTCGCTTTGGAAGGCAATTCGCCCATAGTTGAGATCAGAGACCTTGAGACTAATTTACAGAAATTTTCTGGAGACGACATCATGTCTGTGCACGCATGGACTCCTGACTTCGAGCTGGCTGCAGTCATACACAAACTAGACAGCTCTCAACGTTGGATACGGAATATCGAATGCTGGACGGATCTCATGCTCACACATTATGCTCGAAAAACCAGCTATTTGGAAGGAGTTAAGCCAGAGTCTGCGAAAAACTTTTGGATTCCAAATGACAAATCACCAGGTGGCAAAGTAGTTGCTGAGTCGTTCTATTCCTGTGAATGCGTCATTTTGCCGAGCAAGGGTCCTTTGAGGCCGTGGACATCGTAAAATACACAAGACCATACCGGATGCGCAGCTCCATTAAATTATTGTACTTCCCTCGAAGAGCTGCGTGAGAAGATGATGAGATACCAGATGTTACAGGTGGAGAACCAGCGGAAGACACCAATTGCACCAGTGCGTCAGGTGACTAAAGTGAAACACGGAAGGAGCGTGTTTCCATTGCTTCGAGATTGGCCACCAATATCGGCAGTGTCCAAAACGTTTGCGAACGGCTGCCCTCAGCCATGGTGAAGGGCAAGACGAGAAGGAGGACGACGACAATTCAGTTGGTGGAAGTTCGTATATTCAATTAGTAAGCATACGATTACTTAGTAAAGATTAGTGTTCATATTTTAACGCAAATGCAACCTCGGCGAAGCCTCAGATCTTTCAGGAATGGATGCAATAGTTCGAAAATTGTATCAAATGAAGATGCCATCGTTCAGGTAGGCAGTGAGTTTGGTTGTGTCTCATTGAGAGAATGCGGTAAAATAATACAAAGTCAATATATTGATAAGTTTTTCAAAAGTAATAGTGAACCCAAGTGTAAAATGTGCATTGGTCTTACGGATTCTACACTATTTGATTGTGCCCCTAGAAGGTTGTCATATTGTGAAAGAGATATAGTTTCCGAAACCGTTAATGATCTCTTAGCCAATAGATTAATCTGACCTAGTAATTCGCCGTATGCCTTAGCCATGGTTTTAGGTAAGAATAAGTATGGAAACGTAAGCATGGGTGTTGATTTCCGTGGATTGAATAAAAAGACCGCTAGAGATAATTTTCCGCTACCCTTAGATTGCTTAGAATACTTTGAGGGTAAATCCGTGTTTTCAGTTATAGACCTTAAAAGTGGCACCACATAGATGTTGAATCAGAATCCGTGAAATATATCGCCTTCGTAACTCCGGATGGGCAGTTCGAGTACTTGGAGATGCCTTTTGGGCTTAAGAATGGTCCCTTGAATTAGAAAGTTTTAATTATGCTATAGCCCATAGGACAGGGTCAAACGTGGCCCATGCAGATGCGCTTAGGAGGCAAACAGAGTTGTTAAAATAAGGAGGCAGTGGAGGGAATTTCTGATTCGTGTCCGATTTCGTTAAGATCGGTTGTACCTTCTGAACCTAGTGATTGTGGTCCTGTTCAATCTGAAGTTTCTGTTGGACCTTGTGGCCTTACTGCACTTTGTATAACTACTGAATCTTGTGAACTTAGTGAAAATTGCAGGCAGTGTAGACTTTCTAAACCCCGTGTAGTCCTAAGAAACGTGTTAAGTCCGTTAGGTTTGCCCGGAGGTTGAGGATATTGTTAGAATTGTAGGTGCGTCCCCTTATGATATTGATTTACTGTTGCAGACCGAACGGGTAAGGGATCCCAAAATTCGTTGAGTGCGAGAGGAGTTAGAGATAGGGGAAGTTGAAAATTTTGTGTTAGATGGAATATCGAAAAATAATAGGAATAGGAAGAAGTAGAAGTAGAAAGGAGTATAGTATATTGTTCTAGCCACGTCAGGGAAGTTTTATTTCCAGGGTGCCCGTTTTTTCCTATTTTTGATCTTAGTTTCGATCTCTTTCACCACCATACCATCCGGGCCAAAATCACCAGAACATATGGTCCCGATGGGACCGATATCTTAAATGATAAGATGTCCCTAGCGTAAGGAAAAGTTACAATTTTCCACTTTTATGTTTTCGGCTTTTGTTTTGTATTGTATATAAGACAATATATCAGATGATGTTTAATCAGGAAAAATCGGAGAAACGAAAACTTGTTTCTTTATTGGAACCACCGTGAGTAGTTTTGACACTGAAGATTCTGTTTCTGAAGGGTTAACTTGCGCCCGTAGTCCGGACTCAATATTCATTTGTGGTGGTAAACTTATCGGGACAGGTGGAATCACTGACAAATCGGAATCTCTAGCAGCACCAAATTGGACTCCCTTCACAACGGATTGCTCCGAATCTTTTTTAGCCGCCGATCTTAGGAACAGTTGAGGATGTGCTACGATCGACGACCGATCAGCTGTGGAGTCCTGTTAATCACTTGCCGAAGGCTGCGGGGCATTCCCCTTAGGTAGCCTACCACCAGCGTCTTTCTTGCGCTTTCTCGATTCCTCTAGTAACTTAAGGCTATAAAACTGCGAATTTAGCGCGAAAAGGAGATCATCAGCTCGACGAAAACTATCTCTAGCCGCGCCAAAACTGATGATCAGTCCATCTTTAGTTTGGCGCATAAACGATTTCATCTCAGCATCACAAAGGTATTTTAGATTTGTGCCCTTAGCTAGGTCATCACTTGTTCGGCCGCTAAAACCCGCGCTTTTACTGTGCACCATTTTATCATGACAGCCAACAAGTCATTTTTGGTTGCTCAGGCTTTATTATCTGTTGGCATTTGTTTTGGAAACGGACAACATTAGTTTCCATGTTTTTTTGACTCAGACCACTTTAGAAAAAAAGACAGAGAATCCAAACTTGCAAGCGATCTGTTTAATGTACCGCAAGAGCGCAGGTAAAACGCTTTGTATTTTGTGGGGTAAAGTGACAGAGCGGGTGCGTACAGTTTATGTGCATACAAATTCAACACCGAACACCACTAGGGATAAGGCACAGAAGAGTAAGCAAATACAAAGATAAATTACAAGAATTATTAAAGAATGTATTAAAATCACTGCTGGTTTTGGCAAAATCAAAAATAAATTCCGAGCGCAGAAAAAAACACCAACGTTCGCTTTGAATTCAATAGACGAGTTTTTGTTTAGTGTTAAGCGAACGATATTTACAATACGGTAACTGTCTCGGCAGTTCTTAATGCAAAATAAGAACAAGCTAAATATGTTTATTTAAATAACAAATATAATTTTAAAATTATATTATTTGATGGGTTTATATGTAGTTCATTACACCCAGAGTCAGTTAATAACCTATTATCAAAATTATGCTTATGATCTAAAAAACCATAAAGATCTACGGTGCTTATCGATTAGTTTACGCTTTCTATCATTTCATGATTTGTGTCTTGGGATATTTGTGCTATACATTTTTTGAAGATGTCACTATATATACCGGGTAGATTGGAAGACATTATTGGCTGAGTCTTACGCCGAGACTGAGAACCATTCAAATCTCGCCGTAACCTGGGTCGAATTGGAAGAATTTTGCCGACATCGTCATCACCGTTATTGGGTCCAACGTAATCGAAAGTCAGACCAGACTATTAATATTGACATAATGATAGCTAAATCCAAGAGATAATGTCGAGTTTCCCTAGTCGAGTTTCACGACTATCAGTGTTCAGTGTTACTCAGTGGAAGTGCTAGCTACTAGTGGAAGTGCTAACGAAAAATTTAAAATTTTCTGGAGTATCCGTAGAAAACGGGGAAAAAATAATAAAATTAAAAATAACTTAAAATTTTTCAAAAGTGTGGGCGTTAAAGTTTTGGGCGTTAGTGGGCGTGGCAAAAAGTTTTTTTTTGCAAATCTATAGAAATTTACAAAATATATAAAAAAGTGAAAAAATATCGCAACATTTTTCAATAGTGTGGGCGTAACAGTTTTGGGCGTTTTGTGGGCGTGGCAAAAAGTATTTTGGTAAATCTATAGAAATTTACCAGATATAAAAACTTTTTTTTGCAAATCTATAGAAATTTACAAGATATATAAAAATATCAACATGTTTCAAAATTGTGAGCATGACAGTTTTTTACGGTTTGTGGGCGTTAGAGTGGGGGTGGTAATATTTGGAAACAGACTTGCGCCTATATCTCTGGCTGCATGTCGAATCTCAACTTTCTAGCTTTTTTAGTTCTTGAGATCGCAGGCAGACAGAGTAACGGGTATAAAAACATATCCCAAAACCTCATATAGCGCACCCCGGGTATCAGCGTCGGCAGACGAGTATCTATTAATTGAATCAAATCTTTTTAGAAGTTAACTTTCTTCAGTCGGTAGACTTTGTCATTGGGTTATGAAAAGACTTGTGTTGCTTTCGAACGAGCTGCATTAGGTTTTTCGCTTATTTTTTTTTTGTTGGCTTAAAAAATTAGTTAAATTAATTACGGGAAACATCTGTCAAACGAAACACATTTCACATTGTACTGAGAATTCTTCTCAAGACATTTTTAAGGTAGACACCATTAAGTATAAAGCAATAAAGCCAGCTCCTTAACTACCTGTACGGTCGATGCATCATACATATATCTATAGATTATCAAGAATAATTTCCGGTTATGCCATTACTAAGCCATTAACTTACACCAGTATTCCGAAATTTCCGCCAACATTAAAGTAAGTAAGGGGTGCTCAGCCGTATTGAAGAGCTTCAGAAGATGACATGGAGACAGAACCGTTTTTGTATGCTGCCTACTACCGGAGAAGCAGATAAATATGAAGTAGACAAGTTGTCTAAGAATAATAATTTATTGGAATTATTGGCAGAAAGTTTTTATAATTTATTCATATATCAAAAATGTTAAACTTTAGTCTAGATAATTTTATGAACAGGTTTTTATTTTAAAATTTAAAGATAAAACAGTTTTTCCAAAAGTGCTCCAGCCACATCTCGTTGAATACTTTGTCCAATCAAATAAGCCAATTTATGAGCGTACTGAAAAATATTTAAAATTATATTAATGAGCCGTAGTAAATGCTGAAAAATAAACATCGTTGAATTTTGTTTATAATATGTTGTCAAATATCTCCCTTCCGATTTTTTGGCTCTTTATTCAATGCTTTATAAAAAGTGTTACAGTGATCGGATTTAGTTCAAATATGCGCCGTTTTGTTCGATAATCTGTTTCCATCTAGACTGCAACTTCATAATACCTCCCTCGTAGAAGCCCCCCTCCTTATTTGCGAAGAACTCGGACAGCCACTTTTCACAAGCTTCTTTTGAGTTCAACTTTACACCACCAAGGGCATTCGCCATGGACAGGAACAGGTGGTAATCACTTGGCGCTATGTCCGGGCTATATGGTGGATGCGATAAAACCTCCCATCCGAGCTCCCGTAGCTTCTGACGAGTCACCAACGAAGTGTGTGGTCTGGCGTTGCCCTGGTGGAACACTACACCCTTCCTGTTGGCCAATTCTGGACGCTTCTGGTCGATCGCCTGCTTCAAGCGGTCCAGTTGTTCGCAGTAGATGGTAGAATTAAGCGTCTGGCCATATGGGAGCAGCTCGACCAGAAGCGTCCAGAATTGGCCAACAGGAAGGGTGTAGTGTTCCACCAGGACAACGCCAGACCACACACTTCGTTGATGACTCGTCAGAAGCTACGGGAGCTCGGATGGGAGGTTTTATCGCATCCACCATATAGCCCGGACATAGCGCCAAGTGATTACCACCTGTTCCTGTCCATGGCGAATGCCCTTGGTGGTGTAAAGTTGAACTCAAAAGAAGCTTGTGAAAAGTGGCTGTCCGAGTTCTTCGCAAATAAGGAGGGGGGCTTCTACGAGGGAGATATTATGAAGTTGCCGTCTAGATGGAAACAGATTATCGAACAAAACGGCGCATATCTGAACTAAATCCGATCACTGTAACACTTTTTATAAAGCATTGAATAATGAGCAAAACAGCGGAAGGGAGATATTTGACAACCTATTATATATTGTTTGATGCACAACGATTTTTTTGTGCTGTCTTGGGGGTGTATTGGGGCGTTGTTAGTTTCAATGAGACTTCCGCGAGAGTGTGTAAGAGTTTGTTTGTGAATTTGTTAACGGCTAGATTTAATATTAACATAGCAGAGATTTTATGAGCATGAATAACAGAGTAGGAATTTCATAATGGGTAGCAATTGAAAAGTAACATTTCATATAATAAAGACGATAAGATCATGTTTGAACGAACATCCCGCCCTCTTGAAATTATCCGCTTTCAACATGAAATAGGCAGCACGTCCAGCTTGTGGACAGGTCGACAAAATGGTCCCTTGCTGGTTCAAAATTTGGGCCACTCGAATGAATCCATCTTTGCCAGGTACGACGCCTGCGATGCCTCCGATTTTCCACTGTAGGGGCGGAAGATAATCGACATGATTAAGGACGCATTGCGCCCACCCAAATGTTCGATGATGGTGTCGTCCATTTGGTTCCTCCTCGAAACTCGTTGGTGTATTCGGATGACCAACTTCGCCAAAACTGTTGCTTAGCAGCAGTCACTGCGTTGAACCGATCCAGATTTGTAAGTATTGACGTAGGGATGGTTCGTTCTGGAAGAGCACAAATATATTTTCTTACCAGGAAATGGCCTGGGGTAAGTGCTCCGAGATCGCTGGGATCTGGAGACTGCGGAGACAAAGGACGCGAATTAAGAATGGCTTCTACTTCCGTTGTGACAGTGCAGAGTTCTTCATACGTAAATCTAGAAGTCGTCAGTGTTCTGTAGAGTAGGCCCTTTGCGCTATTCACGGCCTTTTCCGAGAGCCCTTCAAAGTGTGGACCTCTAGGAGGAATAAAACGAAACCTTGCAAAGTCTGTGGCGAAAATAGTCGATATCGTTTCCTCTGCGGTAATGATCCCATTAATTGTTTCTCCAATTTGGACTTGTAGTGAACGCAAGATATGCAGGAGCGTACGATTCTACGAGCTAAATCTCTGGCATTGATGATCCAGTATTCCAGGCGGATCGGGGTAACTGCATGACAAATTCGCAGATGTAAATGACGAACGTAAATCCAGGCAAAATGTGATTTGCTGGGCAGCAATATCGGATGATTTTCGGATTCCGGAATGTCAGTTTTGTATAGTCGTCCCGGGTCGGAACCCGGATGAGTAAATATCCGGACGACCTGTCAAGAAAAGGATTTAAGAACTTCAAGCTACTTGTTAGTGGCTTGGATTGCTGGAGTAAACGAAAATCTTCCGGCCAAATCCCATTTTGGTTGGGTTTTGCGAATGCGATTCGAAGTGACTACGATGGCTTATTCTACGTCGTTGGTAGAATAAGCGAGAATTATAGCGATTAGAAACGGCAACTGCGGCAACAACAACTTATAGCGCCGTACAGTTATTCTAACGAAAGCGTCGAAGCACATCACGGCAAATTTTAGTATTGATATTAATTATTGTTAATAAATTATTTATACACAGCCCCATGTTGGGCGCCAAAATGTTTGATGCACAAAGATTTTTTTGTGCTGCATGAGATATCAGTCGTGGGAGTGTATAATCCTTTATTAACGCGTTGTTAGTTTCAATAAGATTTCCGCGTGATGTATGGTGTGTGTAAGAGTTTGTAAACGACTTTATTAACATAGGAGAGCATACATGAGCATGATATCAGAGTTAACAGAGTAGGAATTTCATAAATGAAGGAATGGTAGGAATTTCAAAGATTATTTTAGGTTTGACCGAACATATATATAAATTATTTTATATAAACTGAAATTCGAAAAAGCATAAAATGCTAAAGAATTCGAATAAAGCATGTAGATTAAAAGCGTAACCTTAATTTTTCCTTTATAAAAACCGTTTCTCTTCATAATAAATTTATGTGATTTGAAGGCAGTCCGATTCACACCTAGAGCAATGTCGCAGTCCGTCCGATTCTTCAGTATGGATATCCTGTTTGGAGTCTACAATATGGGGTTTGCTTGGATCGGTACAATTGGGATAAATTTTTGTATAACAAAATTGTGTAACAAGTAGTTTTAGATCAGTTGCGAGTACTTTGCGAATGGACCAATTATCGTTAGTAAACTATTGCGATTGGATTTCGTCTCTCGTGTATGTGTTTGTTGGAGATAGAGGGACTTTTACATCGCAGCGAGTCGCAGGTGTCTTCTCATTGCGCCACCGCCACTTCCCCACTGTGCTTTGATTCAGAAGCTGTCTCATAGAAAAGCTCTCTTTCATTCCTTATGATCTTCCTTTATATACATAATCGACAGAAACTTACAATTAACAATTAAATCTAGTAACTCAAAAAAAATTCTCCGACACGGCCTTCTTGACTATAACAAGATCTCGTGTTACTTACTTTATTACCCTTCATTGTACATTTGTTTTTTTAAACACATAATTTGCTTATACTATTTCCGTTTATTTTTCCATAACCAATTTACTTATACTTCTTGTGTATTTAAATGGTAGTTTGTGCGGGATAATCCTTCACAATCTTTTCTAGAGTACACGCTTTCTTCCGCACAAACCCAATAATTTGGATAACGATAACCATAGATTTCATCAGATATTAGCTTAGTAGTATACCATTCAACATAACATTTAGAGTCACAGCTCTTTTCTACTACAATCGTCTGGCTACCAAATCAGTCATCAAATGTCAATTTAGATGATACATACAATTTTGAGTAAAATGCTTCTGCATAAACTCGAAAGTATCGAATTTTTTATCCAAATTTTTATGAATTTAAATATAATGAATTTAACATCTAAGAATTCTAGCAATTTAATAATAACAAATTGTATAAGCTTATTATCTAGTTTCGTTTCTCGCTTTTTATTAGCACATGATCGCCAACCATATGTTTCACAACATCGGCATGCTTTTTATTAACTCTTGACCTGACATACATTGCATTCCTATCAATATTTTCTGTAGCCTTTTCTCTAGTTCTTTTTAGATCTACTATTATTTCTTTATTGATAGCCAACATTTCAATAGACTTTGCTTCTTTCCCTATTAACAATTTTAAGGAACATAGTGAGTAACCCGATCAACGGTGCGGTTTATGGCTAACTGGATTTTCGCTCAATGACTCCTGCCACGAACGTTCGATGGACTCTACCGCTGTTGACATGCCCTTTAGAGCACTCATCACACGCCCTACCTTGGCTAGCGAAGGGATAACTACTACGTTTTATTAACATTTGATTAATTTTACCCCTTACTATCTGCCCTTTTATTTTCGATCCGGCGCCTTTGAACGGTCTTATTTTTGTCTGGCAATACGTCTTACTAGGAATACCAACAGCAAAGAAAATTGACAATTTGGTTAATATATCATATAGTTTTGATTTGTCACATCCAATTGAGTCAGTTTTACTTAAAATGTTATTATCAATTACCGATAATACGGTTTGAGTTCTATAAATATCGAACCTGTTACTTTCAAACATTACTCCAAGTTGAAAAGCTACAAGATTATGGCATCTTCTGCCGATTAGTTTGCTGATTATTTTTTTTTTTTTAACCGGAAACCGCACACATTTCCAATCTCTTATCGATGCTTCTATTCGCTGTTACTGGTCCCTTCGTACACACTAACGTTGCCGCATTTGAAACATATCTGCCTCTGCTATGGTCTTGTCTTTTGCCTGTTTCCGAGGTTTTCGCAACTTAGGCATCTAATCGGTGTTTGCCTCTATTTTTTAATTCTTCTTTTCGGGGCCTTGTTAAATTCCGCATTTCTAATGAAAGTGTTAGCTTTGAACTGTTGTTGAAGCTACACTCGCATCTTTATGTTTGTTGTAAATACTAAACTGAAGTTCAGAAGCAATCTCTTCATATGTCATCGTCATCCACTTGGTCAATAAAGATGTAACCAAACGACTGGAATACACCGAAAGGCATTCATGGCGATTTGGACGTCCCTTTAGCATGTTTAGCGACACTGCAGCCGTTATCTCGTTGCCTTCATAGCGCTCCATGAATAATTCCTTACACAGCACCGAGCTTATTCCAGGAAAACAAATTTGCGAAAGCCACTGTGATGCACTACGATGTAAATTTCATTTTACGTTTCGATGAGCGTGCGCCAGCTTTTCCAGAATTGTATTGCTGGGGGGTGATTCTTCTTCTGATGTTGAAGGTAGAGGTAGAGAGTTGTCTTTCACAGCGCAGCGACAATGGTGTTAGTTTATCTTTTCTCTTCGGAGGGCAAATTGCCTTCTTTTACGTCGACTTATTTATCCTGGAAAACAACTTGGACCGAGGTAGAGGCATCCGATGTTTCGGCATCAGGTTGTTAGCGTAAGCTCGTCGTATTCGGGTCTTGTGATCTCTCACCTCTCCAACATACTCCAACGAGAATAAATATTATAAGGGCCTGTAAAATAATTGAATTGGTACAGTTCGTCATTCATCAGTCTTCTTCGGGCAATCTAGGGCAGGTCTCCTCCCGAGAAAGACTCCGCCCTAGAAGGTCTCCTCCCGAAAAAGGCTCCTAACGAGAATGTCTTCACTTTTCGTGGGCTGAGGCCATTTATACAGGGCTAGAGTTTTCTCTAGTCATCGGTTCTATGGGCCAAGTGTCAAACTAAATTTTCTTTGTTGCATTCAGTCTGACTCAACGAAGTAGTTGTACCCCTCCATCAGATTCTATCTGTTTTATGTTCGAGTCTTCAAAATCGTATGATCTTAACGTAAGATGCGTAACGTCATACTATTTTGCACTATTTTTGCACACGATTTTTTCGTGCTGGCTCTAGAGCTGGCTCCAGGCTCTATCGAATTTTTGTTCAAGAGCCATAGAGAAAGCACACTAGAGCCAGCAGCTCTTTTGTACGCATACAGCGACAGCCGATCACACGTATGTTTATATATTGTAAATTTAACAAAATATGCCCTTTACTTCAGAAAATTATGGACTTTAAATCTTTATTATTTGTAGTCGATTGCCACCATGTAAAAATCTCTAATTTTGCATTGCCTTAACATGATAATTATTTAAATAAATAAAAGAAATAGTAATAGATAAATGAATGTACATAATAATACCTAATTCATTTCATATATTACCTTATACTAGAATAATTGTCGTTAGAGTATTCACCTTGCGACGTGGAAAATATATTTGAAGTTAAAGATTCTTAGGTGCGCTGGTCCTGCCTCAAGAATTCAATTTAGCAATAAAAATTGTTGCATATGAAGTTTTTTAACTATTTAGTATATTTATTAGTACAAATTACTAGTATACAAATAAAAAAAAAGAAGCATACTTATGTAAATGACCAATTTTCAGTATTTGGAATGCAAATATTATTTTGTTGAATGTTTTTGTTATGTTCTAATTTGATATTTTTAAAAACCCCGCTATTTTGAGTGGGTAAAAAGCCGCGCCAAATTTATTGTTTCTTCTCTTAGTTCCCCTTAATATGTTTGCTTAAAGCTGACAAATACATAGAGCTTATCGTTTGCTACTATTTTTTCCAAATTTTAATAATATATCCATATTTATATTCAATAAAAGTTTATATGTAAAGTTAAGTTGTAAACGAAAATTAAAATACGTTCTTAAAAAAAATAATAGTCACGGCATCAATTTTTAAATAATATTTTTTTTAGATCATATTACAACGAAATGGACCAAAACAATAATCGAATTCGTTTCTTAGATCAAAATTGATTTCGGACCGAAAATCGTCTTCTAGCACAACTACGCACACATGCATTTTTTTGCCTACTGTTTTCACTCACACAAGCAAGTGAATTTTATTTTTAGATTTTAATGCTCCCAATTTTACGCGAACGGGGAGAGTGGCTGCATAAAGAGTGTCTCCAAAAAAGTGGCTGCATAGTGCAAAACCAATGTATTGCCGTTACGCATCTTATTATTCTAGTGTCTTTAATCAAACTGTTAATTTTGAAAAAATGTTAAATTTTTTTTTTTTTTTTTTGAAATTTTACCGATCCTCTAGAAAATTTTGAAATTTCTAGTTCGAGAGACTTGACTATAGCATTCTCTCTTGCTTTAAATTATTATCTCTAGTCCTGACTCTTAAAGCGATCACTACGAAATGCATACCGAATACAAATAAGCTGCAATATGTGACTGATGCTGTACAACATGACATTGAGTCAAATATGCAAATAAATATAAGATTTTAGGATTCGTTGTTAATATAACAATTATTCAGTTCCAACATAATTGGCTAAACAAAAAGGTAGTAATTTTATTAAAATGTACTAACAATAGATCTATAAAAAATGGAAATGCTCAGCGTGGATGTGATATACGTAGAGTATGAGCGACGAAAAAATTAGTGCGCTTTAAATGCTTTATGGGGTGAACATCGAGTCAGAAAACATTTGGAAGCATTGAAGTAATAAATGCAGGCTTGTATAAAAACCAACAATAAAATATTATAGACAATATATAAAAGAGGATATAATAAAAGTATACTCTTATACTTTGGAAAAACCATCGGTCTTTGGCAACAAGTTATTGCAGACCGGTTCGATTTCAATTTAAAATGTGTCTGAACTTTGCTAATGTAATAAGACGTCATAGGTTGAACACAACTAAGAACTGACTAAGGTATTGAAACATTTTAAACGGTTTTTTTTATTAACAGAGGAATTTAATCTTCGATAATTTTTTAAAATGTGCACAGTATCTAACAATAAATTAAAAATTCAAATTCACAGCAACTACTTTTTGTAATCTGACTTTAAGATTAAAACTTATATGAATATGTTTATAAGCTGTTGAAATGTAGCTTACTCATAAGATTGTAATAAATCAAAGCACGCTAGTAAATTCGTTAGTGGTATCTTATGTTATCTTTGTGAATTTGAAGAAAATTAAGTGGTTTCATGACTTACCATACAAGAAGCTGGAATTTGTACTGTACCAGCCCAATTGTAATATAAGAAACAAAGTTTATAACTTAACTTTTGAATTATGTCCGGTCCATAATTGCAGTCATCTCTTAGAACAACATAATGAGTTGGGGTTACTGTACCCTGTCGTACCAATTGCGAAACCAAAAAAAAATCGTACATTTTTGATTTTGTTATATGTTGATCAATGACAGTTCCTGGCAATGGGTTTTCAAGTTGAATGCCACTTCCCTAAAAATACAAAACAAACAAAATTATTACGTTTCTAATTAAAGATAGCAGTAGTAGCTTATTAAACTGGTTTTTTGAGGAGGTTTATTATATTATGTTTGCTTAACACACCACCGAGACAAAAGTGAGCCTCGTCACTAAACAAAATTTTCCGGTAAAATTGCAGATCCCGTTGCAGCATTTCAAGTGCCCAATCTCCGAATTCTTAGCGAAAACGATGGTCGGTTGACTTCAGTTTCTGAACCAGCTGAATTTTTTACGACCTAAGACCCAAATCTTTTTAAATGATCTTTCACAATGTCGATGGGCAGAGGTGTAACTCCTGCGAACGGTGACGAATCGATGTGTTCGGGTCTTCTGTTACACTGCCGCAATATTTTCTTTAGTGCGCACTCTGCGAAGTCTAGCCGGTGGTCGGAGGTCCAAAAGAGTGAATTGGGTGCGAAACTTCTCGATAGTACTGCGCACAGTCGAATTGATAGCCGATTATGAGCACCATAAAACGGGCGAAGCAAACGGTGCACTTTTACAAACGACCTCTGATTTTCGAAATAAATTTCAACGGATTGGTATCGCTGCTCAGTTTTTAACCTATTCATCATGAATTGCCAAACCAAACTGAACATAAAGCACTAGACAGATGTCCGCTGACATCAAAGATGGCCGAAAAAGTAAAAACCTCTAACATTTTGAGTTTCCGTCAATACTTTTATATGCAAAGATACTATCAGCTGTACCCCCGGTTCTCAGCTGAAGGGAGTCTGAGAGCTAGAGAGAATCGGAAAATATTTAGTTTTTCGCAATATGACAGAAAAATATTTATCTATACATTTGTGTCTGCTACATATGCCACCCACATATTCTTCAGAAATCGATAAAAATGTACAAGACAATAAATTTGTATACAAAAATAATTAGAAATATAATTGAAAATAGTTCAGACCACATTACGACGGAATCTCGTCTAATGTACATACATCTAAACAAGGAGAAACGTTATAGTCGACCCGTAAGATAGGTGGTGAGAGAAAATTTTAAAATTCTTTTTAAGTATGTATAAAAATTCTGAAAAACAGATAAAAGAAAAAGCATTTTGTACGCATTTGTTTGTGGGCATTGGGTGTTAGGTATAGGTGTAATACATTTTTTTAACATAGCAAAAGAAACTGATAAGACAATTAATAAAATACATTTTTAAAAAGTGGGGCTTGTAAGTTTTATGCGCTTGGTGGGCTTAAGAATAAACGTGCATACCTAACGCATCTAGATCGCCAAATCGTTTTGGTGAGTGATTAATCAAAAATAAATATGGTCGGAAACCCAACACTATTGCTACACTTTACATGAAACTACCTACATAGGTTGTGAAACCCAACACTATTGCTGCACTTTACTCGAAACTACCTACAAGCAAGCAAGCGGGCACAAGCAAGCACAGATTTAACAGTATAATTACCGTAAAATTTAAGCTATTCAGATATCATGATACAACTATTCTACAATTTCGGCTAATTTAATAACTACAACTTATAAAACAACTGAACCCTAAAATCATCTCGCTCCCTCCCATAAACCCATATAATGCATTCCCAAATTCTCAATTTCAGTTAACTTTAATGGGTATCAATTATGTTCAATCTAAGCCAAAAGCGATGTCCCCTGCTAATACACGAAATTTTGCAACACAAAAAACAGAACAAATTTTGGGAAATTTCCCCTCTATGTCGGTTTAAGGAAAAAAGTTCAAAATAATCGGACCATACATCTCTCAAACCAACAAACCCACGCGAGGATAATTTCAACTGCTGGAATAAGCTAATACAAAAAAAAATAACATAATTTTTAAACTAAATTCTAAATTAAATGAACAAATTAAACAAAAAACTACGAAAACACGAAACATTTTCCATTGAAATTTCAATTGCCATATGGACCAACAAAAGCACAAATAATACAAGCAAAATTAATCTGCATGGTGCTTTCTCCCCCAACTCAGATTCCCAAAACAAGAGGTTTAATTAATTTATTTTAAATCAATGCACAATCGCGAAATTATCGGCGTTTTAATAATTAAGTCGACATAATATAATTATTAAAAAACTTATTAAGCCCCAACGCTGGTTTTGGCAAAAACAAAAATAAATTCGGAGCGCAGAAAAAAACAAGACCGTTTACTTTAAAGTCAAAAGTTCTTCTTCTTCATCTGTACCAAGATCCAAACATTTTCAGGCATTGTTTTAAACGCTCGGAGGATAAGCACTTTACCAATCTTTTTCTGCAATCCACAAATTATGCACAGCCGAATATTATTTACCATAAACCTTTTATAATTCTTGGCTGCTTCTTAAAGCTATTTCAAGAATAAAAAGAAATATACCACGGTACGAATTTCCTAAACCTCGAAAAGTATACAAAATAGACTAATAAAATTCAATAGCATCTAGAGATTTCAAATTCCTCACATGGACAGGATAAGCCCATTATCTATGGTGGTTTTTATAACAAACAAACTACCTAATATATGTCTTCTAGAGCATATATTAAATTAAATCAGCAGAGAATTAAATTTGAAAATTTTAGACCAACTAAAAAAATGAAGCTGCGGAAGACAATCAAATATGACTAGCCGAACCCATTTAACACTACAAGATCTACACAACGGCATTCCATAAGGATCGTCGCTATCAGTAATTTTGTTCGTGATAGCATTTAACGACAGTGCGGATAAAATCGATCAAAACATACGTGAACGAGAAGTATTTCCAACTACACCAACTACCAATTTGTACGTGTAGGGAAATATTTTAAAAAATTCAATTCAAAAAAACTCTACCACACAATAACACACGTCGTATCGTAATATCTTGGTTCCATAATAAGGAAAATTTAAATAATAAAAATATAGATAATTAGTAATTCAAGAAAGTATTACTCTAGCTTAGGTTTGAAAAATGACCAAAAATCAAGAACTTCAAGAAAAATTTTCCTAAGAGCATTTAGAATATTAAACCAACCTCAACAGGATCCCTGTATAAAGAAAGAATAGGGTATGCCCTAATTAGTGAATGTTCCGAAGAAGAATGTGAGTTCTTTTATATTACTTATTTTTTATATTACAAAGCGACAACACTAATTAATGCATAAATGAACAATACGGATCATTTGTTATACAAAATTCGCCGGTTAACAATCAACTACCGAAAAATATAAATTCTATGCGTACTCTAGTAAACTTGCCGATGAGGCAGCACAAATTTTCAATTACTCACATCACTAAACATCCACTAGACATAAACAGATTTTTAACATCACTCCGCAAATGATCAACTTATCTTCAAACTGGAACCACAGCACAAATGAAAACGGATTTAGTATAGCTGATAACACAAAGAATTGCAAGTTATCCAAAATTATACTTCTGGGCTATACCAGACTGGGCTACGCGAAAAATTCCTCCAACAAACATCGAAACCAAGCCAATTTTGAAGAAACAGAAATCCATCACATTCTCAACAAATGCATTGCGTTTAATTGCCTTTGAACTCCAAATACAATTTTTATTCAGCTCCGTTCTAGACGTTTCTTAAAAAGCCAATAAAACAGAAAAGTTTTAATAATAACTTAATAAAAGTGATTTTGAATATCTATAAAATAATTGAAATACTTGAAACCCCAATATATGCTATAGATAACAGGCTTCTACGGATTTTTAGAAAAGTAGCGAATTTAAATACGCGCAACATTTGTTAAAATTATATGTTCCTATTAAAAGATATTTCGACAACAAGACTTTTGGAAAGTTTGTTTTTTTATTTGTCCATATTGTTTTTTTTTTAATAACATGGCCACACCTCCCGCCTAACAGAGCGAGGGCCGCTGCCGTGTATCGTACGGCTCGATTCGCGATAAGATAGGGGCAAGGAAATAAATAAATATTAGTAAGATCTAATTATGTCTTAAAAAGATCGTATTGACCACTTTAAGATTCAGGATTAGTAATAATGATTAGCAATTAGGGGTAATTGCAAGTGAATCTGCTTGGAACAGAGTAGTTTAGCCTTCTAACCAAGTTGGGGCTATCAACTTCACCACGAATCAGATTACAACTAAAGATTGTTCCAAGCATCGTTCCACGGTAAGTTTGGGAAGGTAAATTTATTAATGTTAGTCTACTGGAATAATAAGGTTATATAAGGTTTGCATCCCAATTTTGGCCCCTTCATGCAAGCAGTAAGACGTTTTCTGAACCGATTCAATGCAGTCCGAATGATTTTCATATTGTGGACCCAAAACAGTTGATGTACTCAAAAATCGGACGAAATACCGAAATAAATAAGATTTTGCTCTTGTAAGGATCATTAAATTCCTTTGACCACCTTTTTAGAAAACCAAACACACCCCTAGCTTTATTGACAATAGACGAAATATGGTCTGAAAATTTGAGTTTAGGGCCTCGAAGATCATTATCCCGTGTTATTCTGTCCAAAGAGCAGTGTAAGTCGCGTGTCTTGGAATGACACAACAAAATATCATAACTTTACACTTGGAGTCATTTAAGCTTAGTACGCTATCACGGCACCATATTTGAAAGCTATCTAGATCAGATTGTAAGTCCGAATTGCAAGAAATAACCCGTTCCTTCCTGCCATTTAGATAACTTAAAATACAATATAGAAGATCAACAAGGAAACCTTATAAATCAAGTTTCCTAACCAAAAGTGAATGAGAGTCAAAAGCTTTACTAAAAGTCAATAAATGACATCTGTTTAAAAATTATTTGTGAAGCCCTGTATTAAACAGGAAGTTATCTCGAAAAGGTTGTTGATCTGCGCTTTATATAACCGTGCTATAAAGGTGATATAATTGACCTAGATGCTGCAAGTGAGGAGTGATAACATTTTCAAAAAGCTCAGGGATAGCCGTCAATTTAGAGATTCCTCTGTAATTGCTTGCATCCAATTTGTTACCTTTTTTATAGCATGGGGGGACATTGTCTATCAATGTATATTTAATATAAGTTAAGGTAATAGCCTTCATTGCGCCTCCCGCATTACGGAAGGGGCGATGGCATTACCTAAAAATGGCATTACGAAATCACAATGAAGTTCGCGCTGTTGACAATAGGACGTCCCGTTAGTATGACTCCAGATACCAGATTGGCCGCTCGATCGACGGGCATCGTGAAGCCTCAGCTTAGCTGTAAGAACGCTGACACGGCACAACGTGACTGTTGCCACAGTGCTGGCCCAGCAACTCCGTGCGATATTGCTAGTATTCTGCTGATCCCGCGGAATGCTGTGTTGTGCTGTTCTGACGTTCGCGCGGGGGCGGTAGTAGCAATGAGGCAGGAAATGCCCTACTTAGAGAACGATGACCAGCTCCGCTGTAATTGAAGTCATGCGATGCGCGAGGGGAGGGGGAGGGGGGGGGGGGGCGGCGGCATGTTAGGTGTTAACTTATATATGTCTATGGTAATATGTATGCTTCAGTGCGTTCCAACCGCTATCTGATTCTCCAATTACTTGGTAACTGCACTTGTCTTGGATATTATTGTTGTTACTTTGTTTTAGCTGGCATATAAAAAAATGCATGGGTTCACTATTTTCTTTTCTTTGATTTGCCGCCTGTTCATACTCGGCTGTAATTATTTGAGTTCAAGCGAGTTTAATTGAGTTTTAGTTCGGCTTTCACGATGTGGCCAATTGCGGATGTCGGATGCTGGATACGATATTCTCCAACGCACGTTGATGGTCACGACGCCCATCTTGGAACATTCTATCTACTGGGAATTCGTTCATGATGTGTTCCGGAATTTCTCGTCTCTCCTGGCTCAAGGAATTCTTCTGGTCCTGACGACTCGAACTTCAACCCCGATCGACTGTGTCCCATCTGGACATGAAATCTTCATGAGGCTTTTCATACCGGACGAAGGGATGCAAGGTCAACGTAACTAGCGGACGTTGCCCAACAGCGTTCCCAGCTCAACGTTGCAGTCTTGCCTCACCTGATAGTTCGTAATTTACACGAGGCGGCGGATTTAGCAGTTCTAGGGTTTTAAGAAACAATGTACTTGGCCTTTGGTTCAATTTTAGAAATAAAACGCGACAGTCGTATCCTCGCAAGTAAATCGACTCCGAAATTTCATAATTTATATATGTTTTTCATATATAAAATATATTTGATAATTGATTTATGTACTTTTTTTTTACCAACACCTAAACTCACACATGATCTACATAACCACTTATTTAATGAACTTAATTTTTACACCAACCTTATTGGTCATAAATTAATTATGTGAACTAACTGGGGAATTATAACATCAAAGAAGTGGTCAAGAACGATGAATTGTATGTTCGTGCTGGCTTCAAAAGGATTCAGAAGGAAGAAACTCCCTTAGCTTAATTCCTTTCAAAGACTTAAATGGTATATTATTATTGTTAGGACCTAAGAATAGCAAAATATACATCTTTAAGTGCCAGGAGTAATTTGAAAGAATTTGATGAAAAAAATAAGAAAGAACGTTGTAGTCGAGTTTCTATACTACTATACTATACTATACTGTTATATCAACAAGTAACGGGTTAATACTGGGATCTGCTTGTTGCTTATTATCAGTCAACTACTATGGCGAAATAGTAATCTACTAAATCTTCAAAATAGTCATGCATAATCAAAAGTAAAAAAAAAAATTTTTAAAATAGGTTATTTCGGCCTCCTAGTTTTTGCTTATTGCAATCCCGATTTATCGACGATACGCATACAGACGTGCGGTACGTATCCAAATTGATTTGGATAGTGACCTTGCGCTAGGAAATATAAACTTTCTTTGGTTGGTGACGGTTTGCTCTACCGCTTTTGAATTTTTAACCAATCCATATTACCTTCTTAACTCTATGCAATTAGTGCATTTATTGGAAAATATTTACCCACTCGTCTAGTTCGTGTACCGTAGAGTATACAATTGCATAGAATTAGATTTTATCTTAAATAAGTTAACAACGAATTTTATTTTAATGTTAATGAGTCTATTGCATTTTAACTTACCGAGAAAATGCGAGTATTGATTCGTTTTTGGACTACAACAAATGTAATTTTTATGCGATTTCCACAAACCACTTCAAATTGTGGAATTTCGTAATTTAGACAAGTATTCAGCTGGCCATCTCCAATTCCATCTCTGAAATGTTTTATAAAAATAAAATTAAAAACCAGAAAAAGGTTTAAAAATAAGGAATATTGTAACTTGTTTAACATTTTTGACGTGAAATTTTATTGCTAGAACTTAGCTGTTAGAATAAAGAGTGATCACAAAAGCATGACTTTTGCGTACTTATTTATAAATATAGAGCTTTTCATTGCTTCCAGCTAGTAACAAAATATAGCCATATATTATATATATATGTAACTATATATGTAACTTTATGAAGAAACCTAATTTTTTTCTCGGGTATTATAATTATAATTTTATTATTTTATAATATTTATACAATATTATATCTTTATTAAATTAAATTGAGGAGATTCCAAAATGTAGTTTGTTCGAACAAACTGCGAATTTGTTTGCGCAAAAAAACGATTCACAATTTGCTACAATTCATTGAAATAGGACCTCAATATAGGAATAATATTGCTATCACTATGCGCAATGATGATTTTACTGTTTTGAAAAAACTTGGTGCGACAACGTGTTCGAGTAAGATAAGATAATAAAGGGTTTCAATAAAAGCTCCAATAAAAAGAAATTTAAATATACATGTTGTCACATAAAATATGAAGAACACTCTGTACACTGACAGTTTAATACAGCAGAATCCTTATCATTTTTAAAACGCAATATAAAAAGGTGTAACGTAAGCTTTATAAGTTGCATAAAGAAAAACTTCAGGGAACCGTTACTCAAATATCTTGGCAATATTTGTCGTTGCCATATTTCAATATACAAATTGAAATCCTTGAACGTTATACAATTGTATTATTTTGGAAAAGCAATAGGAATTAAAAAGACAATTTCAATTGAAAGACACTTCTTTAGCAAGATACTTTTGTCCCGACTTCTGCCAGTAAATATTTTTAAATGTACGGGTGCCGCTAGACTATAAAGTTTTGGAGGAAACAGTTGTTTGCTCTTACCCTACAAATATACTTTTATTGTGCTTTCAATAGGGCTTACTCCGCTGGAACAAACGTGTGTCTTGATAAAGACTATGCCTTTGAATGACCGAATAAATGCCGGCATACATAATAAATAAATAAATAATAATTTATTTTCGTTGAAAAGTATGTAACAGGTAGAAGGAAGCTAGTCCGACCCTATAAAGTATATATTCATAATCAAGATCAATGGCCGAGTCGATCTGGCCATGTCCGTCCGTCCGTATGAACGTTGAGATATTGGAAAATATAAAAGCTAGTATTTTAAGACTAGTGACGCCTATGATGCTAAAATTTGTTTAAGAACGTATTTATATAAAAAATGTAAAAGATCTTTTTACAACAAAACTGATAAGGTCTCAAAATTATGTAATTTCTTAGATCAAATTTTATTTCGTTTTGAAAATATTCTGCTCGTATGCACACATACACACATTCTTTTTTTTTTGTGTTTAACTCATTCAAGTAAGTGCGTAAAATTTTTGGATTTTTACGCTCTTAACTTTTAGGATTAGGATCAATTTAGTTATGTCCGTTCCATATGAACGTCGAGATATCGGGAATTATTGAAGCTATGAAGTTGAGGTTAGGCACGCATATTCTAATGATGTAGATGCAGCACAATTTTGAACGTTGTCATGCCAACTCTAAAACCGCTAAAAACGTTTAATAAATTTTAATTTTTTTTTTAATATAATTTGACATGGAAATTTATATTGATATGCCAAACTTTGTTACGCCCACTGTAAGGCCCACAAATCGCGCAAAACTTTCACGCCCACACTTTCGACTTTTTGTTTTTAATGTTTTATTATTTTTTTTTGCGATTTCTACCGGTATTCCAGAATAATTTTTAAATGATTAAAATTCTCGTTCGCACTTCCATTAGCTGAGTAACTGATTGTGGTGGAATTCGGTAAAGATTATGTATGTATTTAGGTAGAATGAATATTTTTTGACCCTATAAAGTATGTTTATTCTTGATGAGGGCCGTGTCGATCGGGCCATGTTTGTCCGTCCGTCCGTATGAACGTTGAGTTAGTGTAAACTATAGAAGCTAGAGATTTCAAATAAATCATTCAGATTCTAGTAAAACTCAGAAATGGCGTTGCATCTCACAGCGAAGACTCTGTTGTAGAGATGCGACTCAAGTATCTTGTGAGTGTTTTTAGGCAGAAGAGATCAGATTTTATGCATGTGATCGTCAAGCCAGACTTGGTTTAATGCTTTTGCAATGGCTAGAAATATATCTGCTGTTCATATATCTGTTGTTATTCTGTTGATTTGCTCCATAGTTCCAAAGTTTTCTTGAAATCCAAATTGATATACCGGGATGATATTCTGCGCACTTACATATGGGAATATTCGCGTCAAAAAGGCACCGTCTATTTATCTTCTGGCTCAGCTGCCTAAAGAGCTTCCGAAAGTCATTTCTGTTTGGGTCGGCGCGTTAAGAGCCCTGATGAGTCTGGGCGCCCTTAGAACATTGTTAAGGGAATGTCGATAAAACAAGCTGTTTTGCCAAGCACGTCTCTATCATCTTTTTTTTAAAACAAGCGATGATTTTTGTTATGGTTGCTCTGCATAACGCTCCCTTGTGGTGTACAGTTTTTAACTGCCGGAGTAGCCACTGCACACCCACAATTTCAAAAAATGTGTTGTTCATTTTATTATTTCCAATTTCTATCGATATGTTAAAAAAAATGTCGTCCACACCTATTCTCTATAACCCCACTCCTACATTTTTAAAATTTTATTTTTTGATATTTAAACATTTTTTTTTTGTTTTGCCAATTTTTATCGATATGCCAAAAAGATTGTTGAGCTTTCTGGTTCGCACTTCCACTAGCTGAGTAACAAGTATATGACAGTCGAGAAACTCAACTATTGTGTTTCCTCTTGATTTTTACTTAAGTTTAATGCAGCTCTAACATTTTTTTCTGCACATGCTAGTGGTGTGATTATAACTCCAAAAGCGATATTTTTTGTCACAGCTAAAAAAGAAGGAATTAAAGGGGCCACAATGAATTGGTCTTCGGAGATTGTATAGCTAGGCTGGCACCACCTTGTTTGTTGTCGGCTTTGTTGCAAGCCTTTGGCGTAAGTGGTCTTTTTAATTGGAATACATGTTCCGCGTGGACTTTACCATCTGGATTGTCGGTGATGTAGAATGTGTAACTCCGTATTTGCCTGTTAAGTTTGGTGAGGTGTGTTAGTGCCAGCAACATGACTTTAGGTTTTTTCAGGTTCATGCCTTAAAACACCGTTTGCTTTACACAGATATATTCTTAAACAAGACACCTTGTTTTGGACCGCTTTCAAAAGGTTTTGAAGATGGTTGTCATATAATAATTAAAATCCATCTATATTTGTTTCAATATTGAGATTTACGTTGCGTTTAATCACAACCTGCTGTGTAATCTGAGCGTTACTACCTGTACCCAATGCACTCCAGCCAATACGTAACGAATTAATACTTATCGCCTTTGGCTTTGATCATAAAGGATAAACTCATACTATGGTATGACTCTTTTCATGGATGCTGTTGATGTATTTATTTGTTTATACTTAAAAGGGCTCTGGCTTTTTTTGGAAAACTGAGCACCATTGATCACTTAAACTATAAATGTTTTGACAAGTCGTTTAGGAAGGATTGTTATCCATATATTTTATTTCATAAGCGTATATAAAATGTATTTAATTGGCTCCCAGACATAAAAAATCTATTCTTGCTACACGGTAGATAGGTAGATTGTCGAATAGTTATTTCTAAAATAGTTATTCTAAAGCCATACACCCATGAAAAACTGCGCAAATAATATTGCCCTTTAATTTAATATTATTATTGATATTAAATTTAATATTGTGTATGGTATATGCAAAACATTCTGTAAAGTCAGATTACAATAATCTGTTCTGCAAATATTTCTTACGATTAACATTCAAACAATCTAGCAAGGAAAAATTATTCCGCCATAATAATATTTCGCTATAATATCGTATGCTGTCGCGCGAGCGAATTTATAGACGTTATTATATCTTCAACTTCGTCCATACGCATATTTTGGAATATCGATTCAATAATGTGGGCATGTCAGTTTTGTGCTGTTTGTCGACTTTACAGTGGGGGTATAAGAGAACGGGTATAACAATGGAAAATAAGTTTAAACTAAATATCGTTGGGGTTCCGGATTATATCGTAGACTCAAAATATTATTTAATTAAATTGTTTTTTTCTGCAGAAAATTATTTTAATAAAGTCTTGGAAAATTATGAAATGCATATCGCTCGAAAAGAAATGCGGAACTGCATGTTCCGAAAGAAAATTATATAGTGCGTTATCGTACTTTTATTATGGAATATATGGAATTTCGGTGTTGTTGCTTTAAAAAGTATATAAATATACGTGTATTATGCAATCCTTCTCATGAAAAAATATTTTAATGAAAAAGAAAGTGTTTCCGCATTGTCTTGGATGAAGCATCGAAACATTTTTCAAAATTGTGCGCGTGATAGTTTTTTACTGATTGAAGCCAAATCTTTTCGTTTGATGTTTGTGTAGGCGTAACACTTGCTGTCACCGATTAAAGCCATAGTTATAAGGAACATGAATTTGTAAATGTTTCACATTATTAGATAAAATAACCAAGCAATGAAACAACTGTTAATGGTTTTAGAAAGCGGATTTTTATCTAAAACTATAGGTTCCAACATTCCAGCAATAAGTCAACATAACGTGTCTAAAATAAATTACCACTTCCTAGACTTCTGCAAAAAAAAAGGGTCTTAGAGCATTTTTCGAACTTTTGGTACGTTTACAAATTTCACATTGATTAATATAACCTCTTACGTCCTTAACTAAATTGGGACAATACTAGAAATGGCGAAGTCGATCTAAAGTGTCATTATTGCCAGGTGACGATAATGAATCATCAGGATCGATGATGGTCATGGCCATGATCAGGATCGGGATCAGCTACGGAAATTAATTTAAGAATAATATAATAGTCATAGTTTCCATGCAAG